GAAAAGCCAGAAGATCTGAGTGCCCCATTCCCTCCCACCCGCGCCGCGATCTCCACCAATGTGCCATCTCAGCCTCAGACACATGGGCGTCCGGAAGAGCCAGTGTCCCGAAGTGCTAGTCAGGCGTAGGAAACAGAGCCAGCACCTCCCATCAGCAAACACGGTCCCTTGCTATTAGCACAGACTTGTCAGGTGAGGCCTCTCGCCATGCTCCCACCGTGTGACAGCGCCTGCCAGGAGAGGCTTGCCGAGCCCCTGCTGACCCCGCCGACCCGAGAAGGCTGCTGGAGAATCGTACAGGATTTCGTGTGCCAGTCCTGCAGCTGATCACTCGGGCCCACCCTGGCCCTCACGCACACCAAAGGCCATGCAGCTGAGCACGGGAGGGCGGGCCGAGGCCTGGGCAGATCCGGTTGCAGGGACAGGGCTGACGGTGTGCCGGGTTCCATGACACCGGCGCTGGAGATGGGGATGTAGGCATTGTCTGGGACATGCTGCCTGGATGTAACCCCACAGGATGGTAACAGTGACGAACACAGCCCTTTTACTAACAGCTGTGAGCAGCTTGCCATACGCAGCATCCAGTCCCCCTAGCCCGAGCGCGAGGCTCCGTGGGGCTCAGAGGGAGGGGGCTCAGGCCCATGCGGTATTAGCAAGCTAGTTCCGTGGGATACAAAGCCAAAGAAAGGGGTCTGGGTTCCTGTCTGTGTGGTGCTCAGAGCCTGCCCTTGGGGGTCTGGCGAGGTGAAGGGGTTTGCTTCTAGCCCTTAGTCTAGCTGTGGTGGCACCCACTAATTATCTGCCTGGTTTGCACGGTATGAAAACAGCTGAGGGAAGAACGAGGCCGGTGCTGGAAGCCAGCACACAGATGCAGATGGCTCCCAAAAGGGGAGATGTGTATGTTGCGGGGTGATACCAGCAAGGCTGAAATACGGTGCAAAGGCCACTCAGTGCCTGGCCCTCAAAGGTAAGACAGCCAATTTCCAAGCCTGGAGCCTAGAGTAAACGAGAGAAACCCAGCGTGCTCACCACCATCCTCCACACACCCAGCAGAACCACCGCCCTTCTCCTGACTGTCCCCAAATGGGCCCGGGCTGGAAGGAAGTTCCCTGCCGTGTCAGAGGGCCCCACCTCTGTCTCTTCCCTACAAAGAGTTATAGAGATTCATCAGGAGCATTCCACACTTGGTAACGTGCACTAAGGAACAATGCAGCCAAACGGTCATGCGCTCTTTACATAACATGGTCTGCACTCTGCATAGCACACTGGCACCATTCCAAACACAATGATTTCCCCCTCCGTCTTCTGCTGGACATGACGCCAACGTTTTGGGCCTGCTCCGCCTCCTACTCAATGTTTTGCTTGTTGACTTTACTGGAAGCAGGGTTAAGCTCTCAGTGAGTAAAAAACAATCTATATCCCATTTAAATACAATGAAAGCCAGGTATAGCTACAACCTGCCTTCTGTGCTGAGAAGATACACAATGGAGTGATGCAATCCAGAGAAAAGTACTTTGTCACAGCCTTACAACGTTCCACTTGCCCGCTCACCTGGGAAGAGTACTGGTTTGATGGACAAAAATAAATAATTATTTGTTATCATTATTATCTATGCAAAGAGCGGGCAAGTAGTTTAGTACCGGGTACATTTTCAAGCCAGTTTTACAAGCCGTGTCAGAAATAATGCAATTTGTCCATTTAACCGATGTTTGTATTCTGTGGTGACGTTCAGCTGAAGAAGGAACAACATGAGCCAATGGCTGGAAGTTGAACCTAGACAAATTCAGACTGAAAACTAAGCATACATTTTTAAGGGTAAGGGTTTTAACCTTTGGGACAATTTACCATGGTGGATTCTCCATCATGGACAATTTTCAAATCAAGATGGGATGTTTTTCTAAAAGCTCTGCTCTGGGCAGTTCTCTGGCCTGTGGTATGCAGGTCAGACTAGATCATCACAGTGGTCCCTTCTGGCCTTGGAATCTATGATCTGTCCAATGAGATATGATACGTCCTCCCTCTGCTAACAGGCTGGGAGGAGCTCATATTTGGCTGTTATTATATTCAGAATACCTAGATCAGCGGTTCTCAAACTGTGGGTCGGAACCCCAAAGTGGGTCGCAACCTCATTTTAATGGGGTCACCAGGGCTGGCGTTAGACTTGCTGGGTCCCAGGGCCAAAGCCCGAGCCCAAGCCCCAAACCCTCAGGTTTCAGCCTGGATGGCAGGGCTCAAGTTACAGGCCCCCACATCTGGTGCTGAGCCCTTGGGCTTGAGTTTCCCCTCACCCCCCCCTCCCCCCGGGGGGGCAGCCAGGCTGGAGTGGGCTCAGGCTTTGGTCCCCACTCCTGGGGTCATGTAGTAATTTTTGTTGTCAGAAGGGGGGTGCAGTGCCATGAAGTTTGAGAACCCCTGACCTAGATTATCCTGACTTCCAGTCACAGGTAAAACCCGAAAGCTTATTGGACATCTAGAAAATATTCTCTTTCCAGTGACATACAAACAGTCTGAATTTCACCTTCCATCAGTCTAGGAGCAGTTTGAGAATCTCCCCATTATACGATGAAGTTTAATATGTAAGTATTTTGCTAAGATTGTATCTGAACCAGATACACACAAACAGTATGTGGGGGGTGCGCACATGCATGCTTACACACATGTATGTCATTAACTCAGTGAGCCAGTCCCAAAAGAAACCTAGGTATTTTCCTTTAAGTGGGTGAGCCCAACCCAGGGATGGGAGGCCCCGTCCCAAGCAGGGCCGCACAGAGGGGCGGGCAAGTGGGGCAATTTGCCCCAGGTCCCGGGCCCTACAGGGGCCCCCACGAGAATATAGTATTCTATATAATTGCAACTTTTTTTTATGGAAGGGGCCCCCCGAAATTGCTTTGCCCCAGGCCCCCTGAATCCTCTGGGCGGCCCTGGTCCCAAGCACAATGACAAAGTAAGTACTTCAATACTTTGCAGAAAGCCGCAGCCCTCCAGACTGGCAAACCTTCTCTATGATCCCCCTCCTGCAGAGCTGGGGGAAGTACCACTCACTGCAGGCAGCCCAGAGCTGCCCGCCCCGCACAGCTGCTACCTGAAGGACAGGTCCTGAGATTTAAACCACTCCAAATAGTTATACTCCTATTAGGGTGACCAGATAGCAAGTGTGAAAAATCGGGACAGAGGCAGGGTAATAGGCACCTGTATAAGACAAAGCCCCGAATATCAGGACTGTCCCTATAAAATCAGGACATCTGGTCACCCTAACTCCTATGTGCTATAAAATATCACGCGCCATGTGGGTGGACGTGCGGAATACATTAATGGGCACTTGTTCAGGAAAACCTAGCAGTTCACCGGACAGGAGAATTACTTCATTATCTGAAACTCCTATAAACACACCATTGCACTCCTTTCACTGTATTTGTAGACGAACTGTACGTAGACAGAATATTTACCGAATGGTGGCGAGAAAAGAGACAGGAGAGATTTGACTGGCCACCAGGAATCCCACCCTACACAGATCTCTCTGGGTCACTGCACTACACCATCCCCAAGGTAAGAAGTCACAGAAGTTTGTTCTATTGACTGGGAGCTACTGATTGCCTGCTCACATCTCCCTCTGTGGGTCTGTGGGAGGCAAGCCGCAAAGATGAAATTTCTTTCTTAACTGGACAGAAAGGTAGGTAGATGCCACAAGAGCCTACCCCGGAGAAGTGTCTTTCACACCAGCAGAACAGTATGGTCCCCAGGGGAACAGTTATCTTTGTACAGTATGTTTTCCAAAAAGGACAGTGTTTAGAGAGCAGGAGGAAAGCGTAACAATGGAGCAGTACCAGCAGATGAGATGGTTTGCTGGGCTTAAAAATGAGCTGGGGCCCATGAGTCTGACCTGGCTGGCTCTTAGAACACAGCCTAAAACAAATGAAGCTGAGAGTTACTAAAAGTCACGAAAAGTGTCCAAGCGCTAGGAGCCAGGTGTTCTTTGCGAGACGCCTCTCCTCTCCTCTCCTCTCCGGAGTGCAAGCCACCCCCCTGGCCTTGTGCCTCAGCACTCGAGACTTGCATGCAGACCTGTGCAACCGCACTGCCCTGGCAACGCTCACCAGCACCGTGACTCTGCCCCGGCTCACCCCTGCCATATGGTACTTGATGGAATGTGCATATTAACCCTCCTCCCGCCCGCTGCTCTCCGTGCTGCCCTGGTATCCCCCAGCCAGGCAGGGTCTGGGGAGCGCCAGCCGGGCACGCAGCCCCCAGCAGTGCCCGGGCCGGTGGCGGGGCGGGGGGCTCAGCCGGGCACCCAGCCCCCAGCAGTGCCCGGGCCGGTGGCGGGCCGGGGGGCTCCATGGCCCCGCGAGTGCGGGCGGCTGCCCCGGGCCGGGCGGCGGGGGCTGCGGTGAGTCTCTGGGGCCGGGCTCTGTCCCCGCAGCGGCGAGGGGCGGTTCCCGGCCGGCGCGGAGCGAACACCTGAGCGATCCCCGCCAGCCCGCTGCACTGCCCGGGCTGGGCGGCCATGGAGCCCGGGGCGGCCCGGGGCACACCGGTCAGGGGGAGAGCGAGATCGGGCTCCAGGGTCCTGGGACCCGGCCGCTCCCTTCGGGAACTTCCCACCCCCTGTCCTGCTCCCCCCCGGGCCGCCCCGCTCCCCTCCGGGCACCTCTCCCCTGCCCCGCTCCCCCTGTCCCCTCTGCCCCGCTCCCCTCCGGGCTCCGCTCCCCTGTCCCCACTCCTCCCTGCCTCCCTTACCCTCCTGCCTGCTCCCCCCGACCCCTCTACCCCGCTCCCCTCCGGGCCACCCCGCTCCCCCTTCCCCTCGGGGCTCCGCTCCCCTCCGGGTCCCCCTATCCCGCTCCCCCCGGCCCCTTCTTACCTTCCTGCCCGCTCCCCTTCGGCTCCTCCTACCCCGCTTCCCCTCCGCCCCCCAACCTCCCTGTCCTGCTCCCCCCGGGGTCCCACTACCCCCTTCGCCCCGCTCCCCGGCACCGCGCCGCCCCGAGCCCGGCAGGTACCTCCTCCTCGGGCAGGCTGGGCTCGGCCGGGCTGCTCTCCTTGTCGGCGGGGAGGCTGTTCATGGTGCCGTCCCGGGGCGCACGGAGCCGGCTGCGGAGAGGCTGGTCCCTGCCGCTGGCAGCAGCATGAGGAGCTGGCGGCGCTGCACTGAGCCCCCGGCAGCCCGGCCCGGCAGGGAGCTGCGGCGCGGGGGGAGGGACGGGGGGCGGGGGAGCCTGTGCTGCCGCCGCTGGGCCAGGGGTGCCCGGTCCGTGCGCCCTACGCGCTCCGGGCAGCTCCCTCCGGGGCACCCCGGGGGTGGGGGGCGGGGGCAGGGCAGACAGGGGAAGTTGGGCGGCATGAGGGTCAGAGAGGGAGGGGGAGCCGGGCTGGGTGTGGGGAAATCCCTAAACTCCCTGTCCCCAAGACACGGTCTCAGCACCAGCTCCCTCCCACGAGCACCCTGTGGTGTTTAGGAGCCATCTCTGACAATGGCTCAGCCCTAGCTGGGGGTTCACCGTTTCCAGGCTTCCCAGAAAGCCAAGGCCTAGAAACGTGGCTTTTACCATGAACGCTGAGCTTGTCCTTTACCTGATGGGTTCTGGCAGGAAGGGGGTCCCATGGCTGTGGGCTTGCCAGAGTCTCAGACCAGCCAGCTGGACTTCCGCTGGGACACTTTGTACCTCCTTTGTGTTAGCACCTGCTTCTCCCGCTCCCCCTCGCATGGGACTCGGAGGGCCGCACAGAGCACTGGGGTTGGAATTCAGACCCTAATCCTGCTCCTTTTTTGGCATCAACAGCCAAACTGGCATCATCCCCTGGGGCCCTGGCAGTCAGGGCCGGCTCCACGCACCAGCCCAGCAAGCAGCTGCTTGGGGTGGCCAACGGTGAGGGGCGGCACGTCGGGCTCTTCGGGGGCAATACGGCGGCAGGTCCCTCACTCCCTCTCGGAGCGAAGGACCCGCCGCTGAATTGCCGCCGAATACTGAAGCGGGGGTGGTAGAACTGCAGATTACGGCTTTTTTCTTTTTGCTGCTTGGGGCTGCAAAAATCCTGGAGCCGGCCCTGCTGGCAGTGCAAACTCCCAGGGCTAGCACCACCCCTTTATATTTCTAAGGCACCATGCACTCACCCCATGGCACTGCACAAAGGGACTCTACAATGGCTGGAGTGCCACTCAGCTGGGGTGGGTTGGGGGATGCCTTGCCAAGCGCGAATCACTGCAATCCAACAGGCAGGATGAGACCCATTCAGGCTAGGAAAAGGGTGCAGATTTTTTTAACAGTGAGATTAATTAACCATTGGAACAATTTAGCTAGGGTCATGGTGGATTCTCCATCACGTGGGGTCTTTAAATCCTGTCTGGGGAGGGATGGGGGGGGGGGTGTCTCGTTCTAACAGACACAGTCTAGTCAACCACCAGTTGCTGGCCAGGATGCAGGAATCCCTGAGTGAGATTTTGTGGCCTGCAAAATGCAGGTCAGACTAGATGATCACGGTGGTTCCTTTTGCCCTTACCCCCTGGGAATCTCTGAAATCAGAGTGGGAAAAGGCAACGGCCCACGAGGGCTCCCTCCAGTAGCGGGTACCCAGAGAACTTGTGGATTACATTAAGGAGGAACATAACATGGAATATACATCGCGAGTGGGAGATGAGTAAACGAGCATCCTCTGGAATCAGCCTCCCTCACCAAGGGCGCTTTCAAATTGGCATCTCTTCGCATTTCCTGGTGCCGGCTTGGGCTCGGATCCATCCGCACTGAGCCCCACTGAAGCAGTGCACTCCCACGGCAACTGGCTCTGCCTGCACAGGTCCCTACTCCCCCCATACGATTTACACCCCCGGACCTTGCCCACTGCCAGCCCCCCGCCCTCATCTCGCCCCACTGAGCGCAGTCTGAGCCCAGAGAGGAGTGGCCGTGCTGCAGGCAGGGCAGGGGAGAGACCGGACTGTCCCTCCGCACACCAAACCCCTGACAGAGTGCAAGCGAGAGATCCCCTCGGTTGTCAGGGGCCAGAAGAGGCACCTTATTGAAACGCAGCCTGCCCCTGTGAGGGAGAGCGAGGTCACACTGCGCAATCCCCTGTCACTGGGACAGGAACGGACAGGAATAACAAAGGGACCCACGGGCTCCCCCCCTACATGCTCCCTTCCCTGGACGGTTCCTACCCACTCTGACAGACCCCCCTCCCGCCCCAGGGCCCAGCTTCCCCAGCACCCTGGCAGCACTTGCATAGCTCGCCAGGCCCCCACAGCCCCATTGCGCTGAGCAGAGTATATACAGGGAAGCAGACGCTGTGCGTGTCCATGGGCCAGAGCCCCTTGCAGGAGATGCTTGGAGGAGGGTCCTTCCCCGACCTGTGGGAGTTGCTTCATTCCCTTAGAGGTAACTGTTGGGTGCGGCCTGCACTGGGCCCCAATAACACGCTGCTCCATGTTATCCCTGGGTTTGTGTGTAACCACTTCTGGGGCCACGTCTATGATTGCTACCCTGGACAAACGGATGAATGAAGAATTCGCATCCCATCCAAAATATTTCCCCAGGCCTAGTTCAACTTCAGGCCAAAGCACGTGGCAGGGTGCTGCTGTACTGCAGTGGGAAGTTTTTGTAATATTGTTAGTATCAGAGGGGTAGCCGTGTTAGTCTGGATCTGTAAAAGCAGCAAAGAGTCCTGTGGCACCTTACAGACTAACAGACGTAGTGGAGCATGAGCTTCGTGGGTGAATACCCACTTCGTCAGACGCCATATTGTTATGAATGATACGCTTGGCCATGACTTACTTGACCAGGAGTTGCTACCCAGTGGGTATCGAAGGGTTAAGCAGCTGCAGTGGGGCAGAGCCGGAGACATGAGGTGTGTGTCTCCCCTCCCAGTATGGTCAGAGATGGGATGAATGGGTGGATTGTTAGAGCACTGGCTGAAAGGACCCCTATCAATGAAGGATCTGCAAAGACAATGGGAATACCATGGCTGGGACATTCGCACCTAGCAACCAACCCAGCTGAAGGAGGTTTTCCCCCCACCTGGCTGCAGGGAAGCAGAGCAAAGGCCCTGAGCTGGAGAACAAAGGGGGCAGCTGGCTGGATTAAGAGCTGGCCTTTGGATAGACACAGCAGCTCTCACCTGGGACCGAGAGACAAAGGGACAGAGCCAGTATGGACTATGCTGTACCTTGTTTCTCTGTGCTAACCAGGACATCCCGATGCTGTGTTCCAACTGGCTAATCCATCCAGGCTGCCTGGGGTTACTGCAAATGCTTTGTAGAGTCCAAGGCCAGAAGGGATCAGTGTGATCATCTAGATTGGTGGTTTTCAAACTTTTTTTCTGGTGACCCAGTTGAAGAAAATTTTTGATGCCTGCAACCCAATGGAGCAGAGGATGAGGGGTTTGGGAGGGGCTCAGGGTTGGGGTGCGGGGGTGAGGGCTGGGAATGAGGGGTTCAGGGTGTGAGAGGGGGTTCTGGGATGGCGGTGCAGGCTCTGGGGTGGGCCAGGGATGCAGGGTTTGGGGTGCAGGAATAGGCTCCAGATTTGTGGGGGCTCAGGGCTGGGGCAGGGATTGGGGTGCAGGGTTGGGTAGCAGACTTACCTCCGGCAGCTCCATGTCAGCGGCGCAGCAGGGGTGCTAAGGCAGGCTTCCCGCCTGTCCTGGCACCGTGGACCGCGCTGCACCCTGGAAGCAGGCAGCAGCAGGTCCGGCTCCTAGGTGGAAGTGCGCAAACAGCTCCGTGCAGCTCTCGCCCACAGGCACCGCCTCTTCCCCCCAGCTCCCATTGGCCGAGAACCAGCCAATGGGAGTGCGGAGCTGGTGCTCAGGACGGGGGCAGCGCGTGGAGCCCCATGCCTCCCGCCCTGCCTAGAAGTCAGACCTGCTGCTGGCCGCATCCGGGGCGCAGCGCGGTGTCAGAACAGGTAGGGACTAGCCTGCCTTAGCTGGGCAGCGCCGCCGCTAGGACTTTTTAACGGCCCGGTCCTGACCAGAGCCAGCGCGACCCAGTCCCTTCCATTCTGTGACCCAGTTCTGAGTCGTGACCCATGGTTTGAAAACCACTAATCTAGTCTGACCTCCTGTCTGCATCGGACCAGAGACCTTCCCCACTTGCTGAGATGCAATGATCCCTAAAGCGGGGAAAGGCGTCTCTCTCAGTTGGACTCACTGAGCAGATCTCATGGTGAGCAACAGGAAAGATGGAGCCCAGAAGCTGTCTAAGAAGTTTTGAGGCCACGTGGCCTACCCTAAAGAAAGCGTGGGACTCCTAGGGGTCTGGCACAACAAGGGTCTGTTGTCTGTTTAAAAGCTGGAGCGTAGCTCCAGGGCCGGCTTTAAGCCGATTCCCCGGAATGGGGCCCCGTGCCTAAGAGGGCCCCGCAACGTCTGGGGCTGCCGGCGGAGCGGGTAA